CAAGCAGACTTGCCACAGATTATTTCACTTAACGCCCGGTCCCGGGATAATGTGAGATAATTAGATGGGCAGGTGGAGGGGCATTGGAAGGGCACTGAAAACATGGGGAATCTGGGGAATCGCCGGCTCATTAGCACATGGCACTCGAGGAATCCCCGCGGCAGTAGTCCACACTTACTCATAAATGCCATAGATCTTTTTCTCTTTTTCGGGGGGCCACCAGCTGGCCCACTTGATGGCATAAACAGATTGCATGGGGCCCGCTTTGAAGTGCAAATTACCCGCGGGGTCAACCCCAACATATCTTCCGAAATACCGGGGAAATATCGTTGGAAATGGGGCTTTGGTTTCGCTTTGGGGCCGTAATACATCTTGGAAATCTGTTTAATGGGCCGCCCGGCCACTTGAGAGGCTTTTGAAGCTGTTGCTATTTTAATGTGGTCGATATTCTAAATTTAAACAAATAAACAAACATCAGCAATGCTGTTGAAAGTTTATTGTTTTTAAACCTGTGCAGCAGCAAAACTGTTTGATATTCCTTTTCGCTGGCCGGTTGAGTAGCCGATAATTTGGCACTTAAAACGTGCGAAATTCATTCACATTCACATTTCCATTTCCACTTGATTCATTTTTGCCCGGCAAAGCAATCAATGTGAGTGCCTTGGTTTATGTTTTTTTTCTCTGCCGAACATCCGCCCCTCTCCCACAAAAAAACTTTTCTTGCGGCTGGAAATCAATATGAGTAATACGAAATAATAATCCATGAGATTCCCGTGGTTTGGGGGCCACTCGAAAGCAGCCATTTTCGATTTGTGTATAGATTGCTCTTTTTGAAGATGCCAAAATAGCGGGGAAGGCGAAGTTATCACTCAATTTATAGGTTTTTCAAGTGCAAATGAGGTGCTGTCAGAGGGAAAATACTACAAATGGTTAAAGTTGCAAGTGAATCAAAAGTGGGAAAAGCATGGAGAATTTTACAAAGTTTAGCAATGGATTTAATTGGTTTAAAAAGAAAACTAAAATAAAATGTTTTTGAATGTATTTCTCTTAAACATTTATTTTTTTAATTTAAAAAATAAATAACTAAAGTTTTATAAAGAAAATAAGTAATTGTTATATTTTTAACGATTTCATTTAAAAAGGCTTTAATTTAGTTAATTATGTTAAAGAACTTATCAACATTTTAGCTTTGACTCTTTAAGATCCTTCAATGGATTTTATTATTTTATTTGATTTAAGAAAAAAACTTAAATAAATCGATTTTATATTAATTATTCTTAAAAATGTATTTATATCAGATGTAATATATTAAATAATAATTTAATTAGGTAATTGAGTAATTGCTTATTATTTTACAGACTTAATTTACTTTACAAAATATTTAACTTCTTTTTATTTTTTGAATAAAATATATTCATAGAAGCAAAAAACAATTGTGATTAGTATTTGAAAATTGTTAAATTTATTTAATGATTTATCAACCTTTTACCTTTGACTCCCTGAGCCAAGACAAAGCTTGAGAAACCGCACAAGTTTTGAAAACACAAATCAATTGTAGGTACTTGCCGGCAGACTCAGTGGCCAAATAAATTATGGTTTTCGCTTACCGCTATCGACTTCAAACCCGCCATTAATTAACACCGACCAACAACCCTTTGGCCAGGGAGCCGAATCGAAATGGCCGCGATTACTCGAGTGTCCAACACCTGTTAGCAACAAATATATAAAAGGAGCTGGAAAACGAGAAACCGAAGGAAATGCCCGTCGTCACAGGTCAACAACCAGTTTATTGCTCACGCATTTCATTTCAGAAATCTTCTGGCGTTCCGAAAGTCATCATTATCATGGAGGATGGAGTCTGCGAGGATGGAGAAGCTGGGAGCCACGCAACTAGTGTCAAGAATCGCATAAATTTCCGATTCCGGGACGCTGAGTGTGCCATTTAATGGCCGGCAAAGGTCACGTTCACACCGCCGTAATGGCTAATGGCCAAAGAGCGCTCCTGACAATTCAGGTAATGTGGATAATTTGCTGTCAATGATGTGGAACGAAGGGGCCCAGCGAGGAGCTCCTCGCTATTTGTTGTCAAACAACACGGCCACATAGCCGCACAGCCGACAGCACCCTCTTCCCATCATAATAGTCCGTGCTGCATTTTACGGCGCCTATAAATAGGCCCCACTACATGTTAATGCCTCCCAATAAACGGGGGTCTTCGGATTTCGGTTTCTCGGGGGGCGGGGGCATGGGGCATTATGTGGCACCCCATCGAATTTTGACAAATCACTGCTTGTTGAGCACAGCCACAAATCCGCGCTGATCGATGATTTGTTGTCTTTGATCTCTGGAGTCCGGAGTAAGCGGCAGTGTCGAGTGATTAAATCAAATTTTGACAAGGTGTCGACTGGCGACCAGAGTGTATTTTTCTTTAAGTGTGCCTAAAGTTAAAGAGCCTACAGTGCGACTTCTAAGAAAATATTTTGATGAGGGAGTTCCTTTAGTAATAGATTATAAAGTACTATTTTTAATATATTTTTTGTAAGTCGCATTTAAAAAGAGCTAAAGTTCATTTAAAGGTAATTATAACTTTTAAAACATTGACAACAATTAATTAAAAATGCTGTTCATTAAATTTAAATTATAAATGAGTAACCAATCAAAAAAATATAAATGTATATCAACCATAAAATAACTTCAAAAGTAAAGTATAAATTAAGAACAAAAATTTTAAAAATCATTTTAAAGTATAAAAATATATTCATTTAATAGAACCATTTCATGAAAACTGAATTCTTACAATATTTTGAAAAGTCCAAAGAAAATGTCTTTATTCCCAATCTCCACTGTATTTTAGTACATGTTTGTCTCAGATAAAAACAGGGAATTGAAAGCATAAATCAAGCGATGACAACGGGAACAACAACATCGGTAGTCACGCACTAAACTATAATATAACTATGCAATTACACACAGCGATTAAGTTGCGGTCGGGAGTCGGCGACTAAACAAACAAGATTTGAGGCGTTTTATGGCTTAGTGCGAGCGATATGTCAAAAAGAACTAGAGAAACCAAAAGAAAACATTGTTTCAGAACGAAAAACATTAGTATTCAGTTCTAGAACAAAACCAAACCAAGCTAGGCTATAAAAAACAATATTTGTTTCCAATACTATTCCCAGCATAGGTCTAAAAATAAGCAAGCAAAACACAAAACACACAAGGCCAGCGACATCTCCCGAGAAAATCAGACGATCAGAGGATCAGAGGCCATAGGATAACCCATTGTTTTATGACCCATTTTTACCAGCGGTAAGCGATCGTAAAATTTGAATAAATCGGGAGAGAGCGTGAAGAATCCTTTGTGGCCTCATCCACACATGTGAATATATGCAACTTCAATTGGTTCGGTATTTGGTATTTTCGATTTGCGTTCAGTTCAATGTTTTTATTTCTTTCAAATGATCTCTGCTTTCTACTTGAGAACGGAACGATCGTAAAAATCGATCGTAGTCCTGTTTGAAATGTATACACAATTATTTTACGACCTTTTAAGATATACTAGACCAAGACTTTGGTTGCTTTGAGAAAATTGCGTACTTGACTGCTGCTGAGTTTACTCTTGCTTTCTTTCGCTCGGAAAAGTCGTAAAAATCGGAAGGGAAATTCAACGAGATAGCAATGTCAGGGGACCTGATAAAGCAGCCTTCTGGCATTATCTTTGCCAGCTGTTATCCGGTCTTTAAACGAAGTGCTTCTTGGAATTATTTTATTTTAATAATGTTTACAAACCAATTGAACGGAGAGGTTATCGAAGCTTTTATCTGCTTTTCAAGGGATTTTCACGAGATAACTTCGAATGTAATATATTTAAAGTGTTTTCATTACAATAACAAATTCTAAAAACTTTTAAGGAAAAATGAAACTGAAAAATGGATAATAATTTTCAGAAATTTCAGAAGATGATATAACCTATCAGAAAGAATAGAAATAAAATTGGAAACGTAATGATATTTTTTGAAAATTTCAAAAGATAATAGCTAAGTTGGGATTCGAAATAAAAATTGAGAAGATACAATATATATGATAAGTAATTTAAGTATATTCCCTGTAATTATGTTAATTTATTAAAAAAACACACTACAAATTAACGCTCAAATGCCTGTAGTTCATGTGTAAACGTTGCTCGATTTTCATTTGTTGAAAAATCCAATTCATATATTATTCAAAACACATTCTAAACTCTCACGCGTCCACACACATCCAGAAAAGATCTTGACTCCGCCCATCGTGGAAAATACAGGCAAATGAGAACCGCATATCGTTTGAAGAGATGGACACAAATAAACATGGAAAGAGGGGAGAATAAGCAACGCCCCCTTAAAAGAACCGATTCTGGAGATCAGCTTTATATCGGAATAATTGAAAAAGTACTAAAATAACCAAGGATGTTTAATTATTGATGATATCATAAATTAAACATTTTATTGTTTCGAAGCTAATACTTAAAAAAAGTAAAAAATTATACCTAATTTTTCCTAAATATTAATCGATTTAAAAAAAATAATATAATAAATAAATAAAACTCCAAAATTGTAGGCAAAGTTTAATATAATCTATCCTTAGATATATTTCCCACGGAAAATGGATTTTTCTCTCTTTGAGAACTCAAACATGTGTGGATCTTGTGGTGTGGGTGTTTGTATATCTTAATATTTATAGACCAATGCGCTGCTCTCCCCAAATACACATGCAAACGAGTACGGGATGAGGCATTACAAGTGATCTGCGTATCCGAGTCCATTCATTAGTCGATCGGACTTCTTGGCTGACGCAACGAAAAGTAAAATAGTCGCGCACGTAGCACCCACAACTTCGGACGTTAAAAGGAAAAAGATCCTGTAAAATTAAATCAAAAATCAAGTGAAGTGTAGTTCGATATAAGGTTTTCTCAAGACATAAAGAAAAAGACCCATAACAAAATAGGTCTATAAGACTTCAAAACGATATTGAGAAACAAGGAATACAGTTATAAAATGTTACCATCTTGCTATGCCAATGGATCGGTGCTGCCGGATAATGAGGAGCTTGTGAATTCCCTGCTCTCCAATCCCGATTATCTCAGGGCCCAAGTATCCCCGAATCCACTGGGACCAAATGCCGTCGGAGGTGTGGGAATGGAAGGTCTGATGTGCGGATCGTTTTCTCCGGCCTTCTACTACCAGGGAATCGATAACTTCCTGGCCCTGCATAACAATATATGGGGTTTGCCCATATCCTTCCTTCATAACTCCCATCGACCGGAAAAACCACCATTTTCCTACATTGCCCTTATTGCCATGGCCATAAGCAGTGCCCCCAACCAGCGATTAACTCTCAGTGGAATCTACAAGTTCATCATGGACAAGTAAGTTAATTTTTTAAATATTTATTATCTTTATTTTTATGATTTATTAAAAAATTAAAGTTAAAAATAATATACCTACTGAAAATTGCATTACAATGAACCATCCCATAAATTCAGTTTAGAGATCGGTTTATAATATGAGAAATTTCTATTCTATTTTGAATTTTAATTTGATTTTATTTTTTTTGTCAAATATTTAAATATTTGAATTATATCTTCTTTTTATCAACCAAAAGTTTATAGATATATTTCCCAAAGTTTTTATTTTTTCAATCCCATGACGAAAATTAAGGGAAATTTAGATGACAGTCTTGACTAAATCAAATGCCAAAATAAACAATCGCAACATTCCAAGAACCTAGGTTTAAAATCTAAAAAAGCTTTTATCCGGAGACGCATTTCAAAACAGTTGTCGAAACATTTGCCAAAACTGGGATTAAATCGTTGAAATATTGAACGTAAATTTATTTTTGTAAATGTAAAAAATATATAAATATATCCAGAAGATTACTTGGTCATATATTTATTTCATTAAAAATGGTTCCATATCTCGACTCAAATTTATTGGTCATATCTTTAAAAAATATTACATTTTATGTATTTGCGTATTTCTTATTTTTTTCACACATTTGGTTTCCTATATAAACACATTTTCTTGAAAATGGCGGCCAAATATTTAAAATGTAGCGCTTATAATTGAAAATACAAGAATCTGAACAATGACTTCATTTGTTTGTAAACTAAATATTTCCGATTTCTTTATCAACATAAACACATATTTATTTTTATTGCCTTTTCAAATCGCTTTGTTTAAACAATCTTAATGGAAAATATAGATATTGACTAATAAGATGTGTATCAATACAAAAAAATGTTTTGATTTGATTTGTTTACATAAAATGTTGCAAACTTTGGTTGAATTTGAACACTAATATTTTTGTTTTATGCATAAATACTTGTACATATTTTTAACTTGTTTAAATTATGTTTACTGATTCATTGGTAAAAACATAAATTTGCTTTTGCTAAAAGAATATATAATATTTATAAGAACTAACTATCCAATTGTTTGTTTAGATTTCCGTATTATAGGGAGAACAAGCAGGGCTGGCAGAACTCAATTCGACACAATCTGTCCCTGAACGACTGCTTCGTGAAGGTTCCGAGAGATAAAAACACGATCGAGGATAATGATAGTGCTGGCAAGGGAAGCTACTGGATGTTGGACTCCTCGGCATCGGATATGTTCGAGCAGGGAAACTACCGACGAAGAAGGACGCGTAGACAAAGGCATTGTGCCAACTCAAATCGCTACGAACGGGAATCAGGAAAGGTAAATTTATTATTATCTTAACAAAAAAAGAAATATAATAATGACTTATCAATTTACCTTCAGGATTCCAACGATGTCAATCATCCCACAGCAGATATTCATTCACCCAGCGAGCCGCTGAATGATTTCGATATCTTCTGCAACGAAAGACCCAATTACTCGGATAGGATTACGGATCTACACAGGCAGTATTTGTCCGTATCTCTGGGATTCAACAGTCTGTTTAACAACGAGGCCAGGGGCCTTCGAGCACTGCCCAGTTCCTCCCTCTCCGAGATCAGAGAATCCTCAGATGATGTTGACGCCTCCTGCAGTTCCAGTAAAACTGTGAATAATTCTATGGATCTACACGAGGATCTACATTCCCCGAGCGCCTTTACTCCACCACCGACTCGTCGGGAAAATACATCTACTGGTTTACCAAACCTCGGTGATTCTTTTCGAGGACTCAAGGATATAGTGGATGTCTCTGTCAATAGTCCTGCAAGCAACGCATCCCCAGTGTCAACCAATCGATCAAAGACTACCCTTTTTACCATCGACAATATCATTGGCAAGCCATAAAATAAGCAGCTATTAATCTTTAGTTTTTAAGGTGTGACTTAATGAATGAGTTTTTTGTAAATACCAAAAGTGATTAAAATTAAAGTTTATCCATTTTCCATTCGATCTATTTATGAACTATTAATTATGGTTGGATTCTAATGGTTACCTTCATATTTCCTATCCAGTACTCTATAACATGTTCGTCAAAATTATAGTATGTTTAAAAATTAAAAGATGGAATTCTTTAACGACTGTATTGCAGTTGGCGTAGATTTAGTTCTACTAGGGTTTTGTGTTCGCGAATATGTGCGTTGCAAACGAACGTCCACTGTGTTAAAGGTGCGTATACTTGATATTTAAGATTATATGGGTAATGTAATTAGTTCATATTACAGACGGCGCCGCAATATAAAATCGATGGGAAGCTTAAAACTCTGGTAGAACGTCAGCCTGGAAAGAAGATTCCCTATGCGGTGATTCGGGGAACAGTGACCCACATTGGAGATCCGCTCCAGAGTTCCCTGGTGCCCAGTGTAAGTGGAGTCCTGCAGATCGTAAAGCTTCATGAGCTTGGGATAACTGGCCTTTGGAAAGATAATCACAAGTTACTTCATGAGTCCGCCAATGAAATGCCCTTCGAGTTGCGCAACCAAAATCATAGTGTAGAAATTGTGGACGCTTTAAAAGCAGCAGTTTTGGATGTGGACACGGTCTATGATAACTTCGAACCCTCCTCACTTTCACTTTTCGATTATGTATGTGGATTCTTCTCTGGCGTTCGCCAAAAGGGATTGCAAACCACCGAGGAGGTGCTGAGGGAAGGAAGCTTCCTCACCGCCATTGGAGAATTGCAACTGGATGGCGATACTCTGCGCATGCAGCCTTCCCAAAATGGACCTCTTCTCCTGACCACCGCCACCAAATCCACGCTTGTCAAGAGATTGGAAGATGCCAATAGATCTATAATGTGGGTCTTTTGGAAATCAAATTAAATATACATATATTATATTTAAGGAACTAATCCTTAGACTGAAACTGCTCGTGTGCAGTACGATTTCCTTCGTCCTGATTGCTTTTGTTTTGAGGAAGATCTACCGGCGGAGGAAACATAAGTCAGAGGAAGTCACCATACACAATCGACTACAGATGGAGCGAGGGAGAAATCGTCCTGTTAATGTGTCCCAGGATATGCTCTGTGTAGTGTGTTCCAACAATCCTAAAGAGGTGGTTACTTTATGTAGATTCTAGAACCGTTCGTTTAATTAATAATAACCATATCCTTCGTCGCAGGTTATCCTACTTCCCTGTGGTCATGTCTGTCTCTGCGAGGATTGCGCTCAAAAAATCTCCACTACCTGTCCCGTGTGCCGAAGTAAAATCGCTTCCAAGGCAGCCGCCTTCATCACCTAAACTTCCCCTAGAAAATGCAAAATGTATTATTTTTTATCCCCTTTATCTTGATAAAATGACCGCATAATTGAGCTTTATTAAAAAATTCATAAGTTCATCGTTGCGTTGTCTTGCAATTAAATATTATATATTCATTTCATAAATATCATTTAAGTTCAAGTAAAACAAGCATGTTATTAAAAAGTTATTAAAGGTTATTAAATATTTAATGCCTTTTTATTTTGGCGCTAAATTTTAAATAATAGTGTTACCGCATATTCCGAAACTGTTATTTCATACAATATGAACTAGTTCCCAAAATAACGGGAACTAAGACGGAAAAACGGTATTCGCAAAACGGCTCAAAACACAGCAACACTAAAAAAACATATGTTTCTAATAGGCTAAATAACATAACAAAATATGGAATTTTTACACGAGTCAATTGCGCTGGGCGTCGATTTACTAATACTAGGTCTATGTGCGCGGGAGTACGTGCACTACAAGCGCACTGCCCAGGTGCTCAAGGTGCGTATACTTGATGTACCGTAAGGGAAAAATATTTATAAAAATATTATACCTTTCAGGCGGCACCTCAATACAACATCGATGGGGATCTGAAATCGGTGGTGGAGCGGCAGCATGACAAGAAGATACCCTATGCGGTAATCCGGGGAACAGTAACGCCCATTGGGGTTCCCCTGAGGAGCAGCCTGGTGCCCAGTGTCAGCGGAGTCCTGCAGATTGTGAAGCTGCATGAGCACCGGATAACCCGGGGATTCGCTGGCTTCTGGACGGAGCATCATAAGCTGCTCCACGAGTCCGCCAACGAGATGCCCTTTGAGTTGCGCAATCAACAGCATGGAGTTGAGATTGTGGACGCACTGAGTGCCGCCGTTTTGGATGTGGACATGGTCTATGACAACTACGAACCCTCCAGTCTCTCGCTCTTCGACCATGTCTTTGGTTTCTTTTCTGGCGTCCGCCAGAGGGGATTGCAAACCACCGAGGAGGTTCTCAGGGAGGGTAGCTTCCTGACCGCCATTGGGGAACTGGAATTGGATGGCAATACCCTAAGAATGCAGCCTTCGAAAGAGGGACCCCTCTTCCTGACCACCGCCACAAAATCGACGCTCATCAAGCGGTTCGAAGATGCCAAGGCGGCCACAATGTGAGTTATAGTTACTCTATGTTTATCATACTTTTTATAACAATCGTTTTCCAGACTGAAACTGGTTGTGTGCAGCACCATCTCGGTCATTTTGGTAGCCTTTATTGCCAAGAAGATCTACCGACGGAGGAAACAGGAGCGCGAGGAGGCCAAAATACGAGATCGCCTGGACACGGAACGTCGGGAGCGACGAGCGAGGAGTCGTCCTCACACTTTGTCCCAGGATCAGCTTTGCGTGGTGTGCTCCACCAATCCCAAAGAGGTGAATATTAATTATAAAATACTGCCCCTCATGTTTAAGTATTTGATTGGATTTACTGAAATTTTTTCAAATTTATTATACACATAAAAGTATTTCTATATTTCTGGAAGACGGAGTTATCTTAGATTAAAAACGCCTTGTTAGTTTAAACATCACCTATGTAATTAAATAGCTTCTACTTTCAATATTCAATTCAACTTTATAGTTCTAGCACCTTGTATAGTATATTTTTATCAGGTTTTATAAGTTCTTTATGAGTTTATCAAAAAGGTGTCACAAAAGTTATTCGCTTAAAAGATAAGCCTTTTGTAAAATACCGATTTTACTGTTTTTGATAATTGTATAAAACTTTCCACCCTATGGTAAACTTAATTGGAACTGTATAATTATACCCATATAATTTGATTAGCTAACAACCAAATCCCTTCTTCTAGATAATCCTACTTCCCTGTGGTCATGTGTGTCTCTGCGAGGACTGCGCCCAGAAAATCTCCATATCCTGCCCGGTGTGTCGTGGTAATATAGCCTCCAAGGCAGCCGCCTTCATCGCCTAGAAATCAGCCGAATGCCAACAAGATCACCTTGTACCTGTGTGCGCACCAACTCATTATTTTTTGTTACAACGCCCATGAACGGCATTTATTTAAAAATTATTTAAAGTCTTGACATCGAACAGTTAGTGTTACTTTGTTTCTCCCTGCATAATGCGTCGGTACTGGCGTTGGTTCTCCAATAGTTGTAGGAACACTTTGTATTTGCGGTTGTGAAACTCCAGGGTTTCCGGGTTTGGCTTCACCAGCTGGCCAGTGCCACCCATGGCCTTCGAGGCGCTCTAAGAGCACAAGAAAAGTAGTTTATAAACCGGTTGTATTACAGGAATGATTTAAGCACTCACCTCCAAGCTGTCAAAGTGCCCGGAGGCAGCGGCTCCCAGGGCAGCAGCTCCCACCAGAACCATTTCCTGTTCATCGGGAATCAAGCCGGGCAGATTGCAAATATCCGCATGGCATTGCACATACAAAGGATTCTTGGCCAGTCCGCCGCAGAAGAGAAGCGTTTGGAAGGGTGCCCTACCGTATTGATAGAGGTTCTCGATAATGTGACGGGTTCCATACTGAAAATAAAAATCATTGATTTAACATCGTATTACTAATATTAAATATCACAGGAAATAACTTACAGCCAGTGCTTGAACGAAAGCCAGGTATTTGATGGCCAGAGATTCAGTTCCTCGCGTCATATCCAAGCCAGTGATCTAAAAAATAATGTTTTGTGTTTTTATTAAGTATCTAAAATATAATAATATATAACTCACCACTCCTCGCAGCGTGGGATCGGCGATGGGCGAACGATTGCCATGTAAATCCGGCCAGACATGGACATCCTGGGTAAGAAATCCCACCTGACTCAATCCCCGAGCAGCGGCCAATTCGGGCAGCAACTTGTTGAGATGCTGATAGATGAACCTATCCTCACCCAGTTTCTCCTTCAGTTCAGCATAGGATTCGTGGGACTTGAGGACGTGATCGAGGAGATGTCCTGCGATGCTTTGACCGCCTTCGTTGAGGAAATAGCCGGGAATAATGGCATCCTGGTAGGGACCCCAAACGCCCTGGGCGAAACAGGCCTTTCGGGTGATGCTCATGTGGCAGGTTGAGGTACCAGCAATCAAGGCCATTTTACCCTGAACATCGTCGGAACCCTTGGCATCCTTGGAACGGCAGCCAAACATTCCCAGGGCGCCGGCATGGGCATCTATTAAGGAAGTACTGACCACAGTTCCAGCGGATAAACCCAATTCTCCGGCAGCTTTGGTTGTAAGTCCGTTTCCCACTTTTCTGCCCGGCGGCTGGACATCGCTGCCCAGCTTCTCGAAGTTGTTCCGGGTCAACTCCTCCAGGTCCGCCTGCTGGAGAAACTCCTTGTTCCAGCTGCCATTCGCTGCATCGTAGTTCCACTTGCAAACCACCGAGCAAAGTGATCGGGTGTCCACACCAGTTGCTCGCCAGGTGAGGAAGTCGGGCAGATCGAAAACCCTCCAAATATTGTTAAAGGTCTTCGAGAGATTCCTCTTCAACCAGAGGAGTTTTGGAACCTCCATCTCCAGCGAAACCTGACCACCAACATATTTAAGTAGTGGGTTCTTAAAGGCATTTATCTCCTGGGTTTCCTGCTCGGCACGATGGTCCATCCACAGGATTACGTTCTGCTCCGCTTCGCCGGATTTGCTTACTGTAAGCGGCGATCCTTGGGCACCCAGAACCACCAAGGAGCAGGTGGCATCGAAGCCAATGCCCTTGACTTCTGACTTATCGACGGTGGCGATGACTTTCTGTAAAAATCAGCACTGGGTTAATCTAATCTCCGCGAGAAACGTCGCCGAACGACAGAGGTTATCGCACAGAACGAAAATAAGATCATTTCAGGTTGATGTTTATAGATCCAATTTGAGGCTTTAATAGTTTTTCTTATCCTTGGAATTTTTTTATAACGTTAGTGATCTCAGAATTAAAGTTGTAATTAAATTTAAATATATAACCATTTTACTTTTGATTTTCTACCAGTAAAATTTTTATTTTAAATATTTTTTGTAACACTTAATTCAAAAAACGTTTTTATGAAAATATAAAAATATAAAAATATAAAAAACATTTTAATTACATTTTTAAATATATTTTTATTCACATTGAAGAAAATTTGTATTTAATTTATGTTATTTTCAAGATCAATTTGATTTACATCATAAAATCCACCCGGAAATGATCTCAAATCTTTGTTCCCTGCACCAAAGACTTACCTTCACCACCTGGCAGATGGACTGCCAAATATTATGGGATGACTGGTTGTAGTAGTCCGGCTCTGGATTCCATGTCTTGATCGTCTGCACCGCCTGCTCCAGGACACGCCCATCGGAGGCCACCAGGGCCGCCCTCGCACTGCCCGTGCCCACGTCCACGCCCACAAAATACGGTCCGGATGCCATTTCCCAGTCGTCGCCGCCTCCGTCACAGACGCCTCTAATCACCTTGGCGGTCAAATAAATGTTATTGACTCAATGCAAAAACCTAAGACCTAAAAGCGAAGCGAAGTCGTCGAGCGTCGGACGCGAACTGATAAGCAAACTGATATGCGAACGCCCAGCAGACCCAGAAATCGTGTAAATTAACCCCAAGTACCGGTTTGTAAAGATCTTAGTGGATCACTTGAGAGTGGGTTCATTCATTAGCTGTAAATATGGGTGTGTGCTACTTTTATCTGAGTTCTATATTTGTTACTGGATTAATTGGATGAAATACATTCTATGTTCATTGTTCATATACTTATGTTCTCTTACTTCGATAAGGTTTCTAAACATAGCGAAAGTTGCACAACAAACTCAAAACTGATAAGCCTTTTTTATGCTCCCACATAATTGAACATTTCTGTTCTATATTTTTTATTTCTCTATTCTCTGTTAGACGTCATTAAATTTGTATACAAAAAAATACATTTTGGGCAATGGGAATTAACGATCATCAGACGCAAAATGATTACCAATTAACTGAAGTACCGGTTTTTAAAGATAATTCTCCAAAAGTTCAAATGATTGTAAATATTTAGGTTTGCTTTTGTCATTGCTGAAATTACTGTATTGTTTTTAACGATTTTGTAATATTTATTTTCACAATATCTTAGCATCCCGTCGTATTTTTGTCACAGTTATTGTTCGATCATATTTTCTCTGATATTTTTGTATGTTCACAATCCAAACCATTTACCATAGCTTGTGTTTTTTTATTTATTTTTCTTTCTATTTCCTTTTTCACATAAAATCGGCTGCATCTTATTAAGCTGAATAATATTTAAATTTTGAAAGCCAAAGTATTTTATACCGAAATTCGTAAATTTAAAGCACGCACACCTGTTTATTAAAAAAAACAAAACTCTAAGTTGTAGAGATAGCACACCTGATTGTTTTCAATACACAATTATTTGAGCAAAACTTTGCTTTGCTAGCATATGCGCAGGTTGTTTATCAACACAACAAAAAACACATAAATGTGTTTGCTTTTATTTTATTCCGTCACCTGTCTGCGAACCTGTCGCAACGAGCTGCTCTCACAAACTGATTCAAAGCCCTCAGAGTGGATCTGATATATTTCAACTTGTATTCAATATTCAAGTTTAACAGCATCTTCTCTTAAATGTTAATAATACAAATGTTTTTATTAAAAATTTCTTTTGAAGCTCTAATAAAATAAATTTCCTAAAATAATAAATGTTATCAAATTAAATTTTATTTAATAAAAGAAAATTAAATTGACTTAACTTTTTGTTGAACAATTATTATTATTTAATAAAACTTAGTTCTGTTATTATTAACCAAATATAAGTCAAGGTCATTTCTTGAAGGGCACATAGAAAATGATAACCACTGATAACGCTATTCGAAAGAATGGCATTTTAAAAAGCTATTGATAAACTAAATTTATAGACAGGCAGGGTATTATCTAGACTGGCCAAACACTTGCAATATCAATCAATATACGATTACCATCAAAGATAAGCGTCGGAGTTACTGAGGTTTGTTAGTTAACATTCAGATTAAGTTAAATACCATTTTATTAACAGATTGTTTTGAAGCCATACCTTATGCTAGTAAAGAAATGCAGAACTATGAAAGAAAAGAAAGACGGTAACCTATTTATCAGAATATTCAGCCTGAAAGTTTGCTTTGTAATATTGTACATGTTAAAAAAATATTAAAAATTTTTCCATTTCTGACTATTTTAAAGGATCTATATTTGAAATGTTAAAACTGCGATCTTTAAAACTTTCTTACATAATGGACCCTAAAAAATCCCCAAGGACTTCGGGATGCTATCCGAGGGTCTTTCAAATACTGCTAATCACATTTAACTCAGACGTGTCTGATAATTGTTGTTTATATCCTTGGACAAGCTTAGCCTAAAACCCGTAATTAGTGGCACTTCAAACGGTCACCACGGTGCCGCCAAAACCATTGTGGGGCTTTCGGAGCTCTACTCCGCCCATGACAAGCTGTTGGACCTATTTAAATTTTTGCATTTCGTGTCAGTGCAAAAAAGACCGGCGTCATGAAAGGACCCACTCTGAATTTTCGTAAACCCACCAGTAAGGATAACAAGGTTAAAGCTGTGGAGAGCTTGGCTAAACCGGAAACGCCTCCTCCAAAATTTGTTGAGGACTCGAATCTGGAATTTAATGTTTTGGCCAGCGAGAAGTTGCCTAATTATGCAAATTTGGATTTGTTTCATCGCGCTGTAAAACCTTGTAAGTTTTTATAAATCTTAAAAATATGGTAAATATGTATAGATTTTTCTCTTTCGATCTAGTCATGCTTTTAGCACAATGTTTTGCTTTAATGCCTCTGGTGGGCATCCGTGAGTTAAATCCTAGACGAGTTCGATTTTCCTATAAATCTCTACCCATGCTTGTTACCCTGATCTTTATGATTGCCACATCCATAATGTTTCTGGGCATGCTAAGTCATCTTCTAGAGATTGGCATTACGGCTAAGAATTTTGGTGAGATCAGTTAGGCTTTCGATGGTATTTTATTATACAATTTTTTTTTCCAGTGGGTCTCGTTTTCTTTGGCTGTGTAATGACGGCCTATGTGGTCTTTATTCGCCTGGCTAAAAAATGGCCAACACTTATACGAATCTGGACCAAAACGGAAATGGTTTTTACCAAGACTCCATATGAAATACCCAAAAGAAATCTTTCGCGCCGTGTGCAGTTGGCTGCCTTGGCTATCATAGGCTTATCTTTGGGTAATTTTTAGAAAATTCTTTAATGATGTATTAAGTTTTAAAGCCTTCAAACCCTTAGGTGAACATGCTTTGTACCAAGTATCTGCTATTCTGAGCTATAAGCGACGTCTTCAGATGTGCCCCAATATAACTACTGTAGCCAGTTTTGATAATTACACTCAAACGAACTATAACTATGTGTTTCAGCTGCTGCCCTACAGTCCCATCATCGCTGCTCTAGTTCTAGTAAGTCCTTTCTATTATATAAAACTTACAAAAAATATTTGATTTCTTAGTTAATCAACGGAGCCTGCACTTTTGTCTGGAACTACATGGACCTCTTTATCATGATGATTAGCAAGGGTTTGTCCTATCGCTTTGAGCAAATAACTACTCGCATTCGCCAATTGGAACATGAGGAGATCAGCGAATCGGTGTTTATCCAAATCAGGGAGCATTACGTCAAGATGTGTGAATTACTGGAATCTGTAGATAGCGCCATGTCCAGTCTTATATTGCTTTCGTGTGTTAACAACCTGTATTTTGTGTGCTACCAGCTGCTTAATGTTTTCAAGTGAGTAAAACTAAAAAGTCCTTTAAAAATATTATAAATAGGTACTTAAGAAATTCCCTTCTTAAAATTCTAAAAATAAAATTATTTTATAATTTATTATTATAAACATATTTGTAATCTATTAATAAAAAAAATCGTATTAATTCTCCTTCACATATTTTTAAGTTTTTTAAAAAAATATACCCTGTTATAATATTTATTTTTATGATATTTTAGCAAACTGCGCTGGCCCATCAACTATATATACTTCTGGTACTCCCTGCTATATCTGATTGGACGTACCGCCTTTGTGTTCCTCACGGCAGCGGACATCAACGAGGAGTCCAAACGGGGACTTGGGGTTCTGAGGAGGGTTTCGAGTCGAAGTTGGTGCGTGGAGGTGGAGCGCCTGATATTCCAGATGACAACCCAAACCGTTGCGCTATCCGGGAAGAAGTTCTACTTCCTCACGCGTCGGCTGCTCTTTGGAGTGGGTAACACTGGGTTACAGAAAATGCTAGTTTATGTTCACACCTCTGAATTTACACCCCCCAGATGGCCGGAACGATTGTCACCTACGAACTGGTCCTTCTGCAATTCGATGAACCCAATCGTCGCAAAGGACTGCAGCCCTTGTGCGCCTGATGAACAGCAATCATCATCCCACTCCCCGTTTGTCATGTCAGCTGAATGTGACAGGCGGTGCAATTAGTTGTAAATACTTAGTTGGTAAATCGTTTAAAGCAGCCACGCCCCCTTTAGGATATAGGGGGCTTTTTGCACGACAGATTGGCGAGTCGTTGGTTAGTGTTAGTTTGGCCATGCCGCAGGGCGAGACATTCCATCGGGCGGTCTCGAAAGGTGTTTGACTATCACTATATCATTATTAAAAATTAAATAATAATATATTTTCACAGTTCTTTTTATTTCACAAATCTATGGATTACTTCCGGTTAGCAATGTCCGTGCTAGGGATGTTTCGGATATACGGTTTCGTTGGTTTTCACCTAGGATCTTTTACTCCTGCCTCGTTTTGATCCTAAATCTCTGCGAATTCGGGGCCGTTATTAACTATGTCATCAAGGTGGCCATTAATTTTCACACCTCCAGCACTCTTTCCCTTTATATTGTCTGTCTTCTGGAGCACCTGTTCTTCTGGAGACTGGCCATTCAATGGCCCAGGATAATGCGCATCTGGCATGGAGTGGAACAGCTCTTTCTGAGGGTTCCTTATCGGTTCTACGGGGAGTACAGGATGAAGAGACGCATCTATATTGTGTTTGCCATCGTCATGTCATCGGCGTTGGGTGAGTGTAATATTTTTTATATATTTAATAATATAAAATACATTTATGGATTTTTTTGTTAAAGTTATATCTTTTTTTAATTAAGAGGTGGTTAAATTTTTGACCCGCCGGTAGAAGTAAATGGGACATCATTTTTCATAAATTTAAATTTCAATTTCTTCTCATTATTCCCTAATAACTTAATATATTTTTCAGTGGAACATTGTCTCCTGCTTCTCAACTCGTTTCATCTCAGCAATATGGAGCGCACTCAGTGTAAAATCAATGTAACCTACTTCGAGAGCATCTACAAGTGGGAACGTCCTCATCTCTACATTATTTTGCCCTACCACTTTTGGATTCTGCCTATTTTAGAGGTAGTTAGCTTAAAAAATAATTTATTTTTAATTTCTAATTTTCATAATAATATTTTCCAGTGGGTTAACCAGACTATTGCCTATCCGCGCTCCTTCACCGACTGCTTTATCATGTGCATTGGGATTGGTTTGGCTGCCAGATTTCATCAGCTCTATCGAAGAATTGCCGCTGTTCATAAGAAAGTGATGCCCGCGGTTTTTTGGACAGAGGTTCGGGAGCATTATTTGGCTTTAAAGCGACTTGTGCATCTACTGGATGCTGCAATAGCTCCACTGGTTCTACTGGCCTTTGGCAATAACATGTCCTTTATTTGCTTTCAGTTGTTTAACAGCTTCAAGTAAGTTGAATAATATATTTAAATATAATATATATTATAAACTATATTTTATTTTCAACAGGAATATAGGAGTGGACTTTCTTGTGATGGTGGCTTTTTGGTACTCTTTGGGTTTCGCTGTTGTGCGCACTTTACTAACTATTTTTGTGGCCTCTACCATAAACGATTATGAAAAGAAGATTGTCACAGCTTTAAGGGATGTGCCCTCCAGAGCTTGGTCCATAGAGGTCAGAAAAACTTTAAGGTATACCAAATATTATTATTCTTTTTTCTACAGGTTCAGCGTTTCAGTGAGCAATTGGGAAATGATATGACAGCTCTCTCAGGTAGTGGATTCTTTTACCTCACCCGCTCACTCGTTCTGGCTGTAAGTTAAGGTCTTAAAATTTAACATTTATATCCTTTATATTTTATATATTTTTCTAGATGGGCACCACAATCATCACCTATGAGCTCATGATATCGGATGTCATCAACCAAGGTTCCATCAGGCAAAAGACTCAATACTGCAGGGAGTATTAGATCCCGGAATTTAGCATTCGCAACTCCAATTCAAGAGCACATTTGTCTAAAATTAGTGTCACGCCCACGCACCTGCACACAAATCCGGCAATTCGCCAGATCCTAATCTGCAAATATATTGGCTTACGCCCCCTTGTTTATGGCGTGTCCTTAGACTCTTTGGACTTGAAGGACCTCCACTTTCCATTTGCAAAACAACAGCCAAGCCATGAAGCAGTCGGGTCAAAGAGGCACCAGAAATACGCTCCAACATGGAATTGGTCCGGGTGAGTGGAATGAGGGTTGGGGATTTCATTTACAGAGATAATAATAATTTGGGATTTTTACAGTTCTGGTTATAGCCCAGTTCTTTGGGGTCCTACCGGTTTCGGGGATCTGGCCAAGCTCTAGACCGGAAAAGGTTCACTTTCGCTGGATTTCTTTATCACTTTTAGCTGCTCTGGTTCTGTTTAGTTTCTCCATTGTGGACTGTGTCTTATCCTCGAAAGTAGTGTTCGATCATGGACTTAAGATCTATACCATAGGTGCGTTGTAGTTTAAGAAAGTTATCTTTTAGTTTTAAATTAAAATTAAATTTTAATTGAATAATAATTAAATATCTTTCTATCTTAACATTACAATACAATAAACATTTTTTCTTTTTAATGTCGATGCTTAAAAATATTTTGAATTTCAATAAATTTTTCTGATTTCAAAAGGCCAATGATCTACATAATTGATCATCTCACTATCTTAGAACTACAGAAACATCATTCTAATATTTTAAATAAATAGAAACAATTTTAAGTCTATAAATATTTTTTTATTTTTATAAAATATATTACTTTTCTTTTCCAGGATCCCTCAGTTTCAGCGTGATCTGCATTTTCTGTTTTGGGGTCTTCCTGCTGTTATCTCGTCGTTGGCCCTATATCATCCGTCGGACGGCAGAATGTGAGCAGATCTTCCTGGAACCCGCCTACGATTGCAAATATGGGCGTGGCTACTCCAGTCGCCTTCGTCTTTGGGGTGTCTGCCTTTTGGTGTTCGCTCTCTGTGAACACTCCACTTATGTGGGAAGTGCCCTGTACAACAATCATTTGGCCATCGTAGAATGCAAATTGAATGCGGACTTTTGGCAAAACTATTTCCAGCGGGAGAGGCAGCAACTATTCCTCGTAATGCACTTCACCGCCTGGTGGATACCCTTCATCGAGTGGACCACGTTGTCGATGACCTTCGTGTGGAACTTTGTGGACATTTTCCTGATCCTCATTTGCCGCGGAATGCAGATGCGATTCCAACAGATGCACTGGCGCATCCGTCAGCATGCCAAACAGCAAATGCCCAATGAATTTTGGCAGCGAATTCGCTGTGATCTTCTGGATCTCAGTGATCTTTTGGGTATTTACGATAAGGAATTATCTGGCTTGATAGTTCTCTCCTGTGCCCACAACATGTACTTTATATGTGTGCAGATTTATCACAGCTTTCAGTGAGTAAAATTAATAAATTAAAATATTATTAAGAATTTTAAAATGTCAATATTTATTTATTTCTATTCATTTTTTTCCTATTTAGATCCAAGGGCAACTATGCGGATGAGTTATATTTCTGGTTCTGCCTTTCCTATGTCATCATTCGAGTGCTAAACATGATGTTCGCTGCCTCCTCGATTCCCCAAGAAGCCAGAGAGATATCGTATACCCTATACGAAATACCCACGGAGTTTTGGTGCGTCGAACTAAGACGACTGAATGAGATTTTCCTTTCGGATCATTTTGCTCTCAGCGGCAAGGGTTACTTTCTACTGACCAGACGTTTAATATTTGCAGTGAGTGGAGAAAAATAATATATAAAATATATTAATATAATATCTTTTAAAGATGGCTGCTACCTTGATGGTCTATGAACTGGTGCTGATCAACCAAATGGCCGGTTCCGAAGTGCAAAAAAGCTTCTGCGAGGGCGGTGTTGGCTCCTCCAAGAGCATATTTTCCTAGTTTTACTTGCATATCTACTATTTTTTTTGCACCTTTTTGTATTTCCATAATGGCACCTAATCAATCGCACCTGTCAGATGTTATCTATTGAATACAATGCGTGTCTAAAACTTTTTTGTCGCAAGTGTCTCAATTATCACGTTCCGGCGGAGGAGCTCCATTTGTGTGTCCATGGACTTCAAATGGAGCGGTCTGTGCAGGAAAATACCCTGCATTATTCTATAGGAAATGGTGAGTGTGATTCTAGGTTGTTTTGATCTAAAAGAATCCCTTTTTTTAGTTCTGCTCGTAGCTCGGATCTTTGGTGTTCTTCCCCTTTCCGGAATTGGTCCTTCGAAAAAGCCTGAAAATGTGCGCTTTCGTTGGTTTTCCCCGGTTATTCTATTTTTCGTGGTGGTTTTTATATTTGTTATCGGTGACTTTGTGCTCTCAGCTAAGATAGTGCTCAACAATGGTCTCAAGATGTACACTATAGGTAAGATATATTATTGAATCCCTTAGTTAAGATCTAAAATATGAAATATTTTCAGGTTCTCTGAGTTTTAGTGTGATATGTATATTTTGTTTTCGAGCCTTTATAAATATTGCTCGTCAATGGCCCCATATAATCCGACAGACGGCGCAGTGTGAGCGGATCTTCCTGAAACCCTGCTATGCCAGCGTCCAAGGACTCAATTTCAGTCGAATCCTTAGAAGATGGGCCTTAGTACTCTTGATCACCGCCCTTTGTGAGCACCTTACCTATGTGGGCAGTGCCGTTTGGAGCAACTACGAGCAGATTCGGGATTGCCATCTGAAAGTCGGGTTCGTAGAGAACTATTTCCTGAGGGAGCGCCAGGAGGTATTCTCGGTTTTTGACTACCAAATCTGGATGGTGTTCTTTATCGAATGGAGCACCCTTTCCATGACCTTTGTCTGGAACTTTGGGGATATTTTCCTTATACTCATTTTTCGCGGATTGAAGATTCGCTTTGAGCAGCTCCATTGGCGCATTCGTCAGAATCTGGGGAGGTCTATGAAAAAAGAGTTTTGGCAGGAAATACGTTCCGATTTCTTGGACCTAGATGATTTGCTGAAGCTCTATGATAAGGAGTTGTCTGGCTTGATTTTGGTCTCCTGCGCTCACAACATGTATTTTATTTGCGTGCAGGTTTACCACAGTTTTCAGTGAGTTTATATAATATTTATTTACTAATATTAAAATTCTAACTAATATGTTTTTTAAAACAGAGTCAAAGGCGCCTTTATGGATGAGCTTTACTTCTGGTTCTGCTTGCTTTATGTGATCACTCGCTTAATGAACATGATGTTGGCGGCTTCTTCAATTCCCCTTAAAGTTAAAGATATATCAAATACTCTCTATGAAGTGCCCTCAAGTTCCTGGTGCGATGATCTGGAGCGTTTGAGTGAGATGCTACGCAATGAAAACTTTGCTTTTAGTGGAAATGGTTACTTTTTTCTCACCCGAAGGCTAATTTTTGCAGTGGGTATTACAAAAATGTTTTAAAAAACTCGTAATATATTTTTTAGATTTTTTTTTTAGATGGCTGCCGCTTTAATGGGCTACGAACTGGTGCTCTTCCGGCAATTGGAGGGTTCGGTGGTGCAGAAAAGTATTTGCAGCCGTGGTCCTGGCTCCTCCATGAGCATTTTCTTCTCTTAGTTCAGTTTACCATTTCCATTTTCTTTTATAAGCCCTCTGAAAGCTGTCAACGTTTTTGTATTTGCACAAGATTATGCACAGATAAGCGCACATTTCCCATTAATTATGGGTAACTGGTAGCAATTTGTGGCTTTACCTGGTGTCTGGTGGGGATTAGTGGTCAGTCGAGCACGGAACATGGCCAGGACCACTGGGGATCCTGCCAAGCGGCGAAGATGCATTGCCCGCATTAAATTCTGGCGGAGATCACGCGTGGGCAGCGGGTAAATGTAGGATAGCATTGTGATTATTTAAATTGTAATTTGATTGTTTTTTAAATTAAAGTGTCACCCTGGGAGTTATCAAATACAGAGTCGTCTCTAAGCCCTCGAGGCGATTTCAGTTTTCTTTGAGTAAGTTTTCTTGGGGTTGGGTATTGCTTATAAATGGTATTATTTTTCAGTAAAAGCTTGGCTTCTTCGGATTAGAACAGAGGATTACAAGTACAGTGGGTCCTTTCAGGAAGCCATTAAGCCAGGTAATTTGATATATTTATTTGTATTAATATTTATATTATTTAGTTATTATATTTCTCAGTTCTCATCATCGCCCAGATATTTGCTCTAATGCCAGTTCGAGAAGTAAGCTCCAAGTTCGCTGAGGATCTGACCTTCACGTGGTTCAGTATTCGAACTTATTACGCCCTGGTTACCATCCTATGTTTTGGAGTGACCTCCGGTTATCTGGTGGCCTATGTGACGAATGTCTCCTTCAATTTCGATTCAGTGGAGACTCTGGTATTCTACCTATCCATATTCCTAATATCATTGTCGTTTTTGCAACTGGCCCGGAAGTGGCCGGCGATTGCTCAGGAATGGCAGTTGGTGGAGGCCAAGTTACCACCTCTCAAATTGCCCAAGGAACGCAGATCCCTGGCCCAGCACATCAAGATAATCACCATTGTGGCCACCACTTGCTCACTGGGTAAGGAAATATATTATATCTATAATTCGTTTTATTTATTTATCTAATTTCAAGTGGAACACATCATGAGTATGCTTTCAATGGGCTACTATGTGAACTCCTGTCCCCGATGGCCGGGTCATCCCATCGACAGTTTCCTGTACTTGAACTACTCCTCGGTGTTTTACTTTGTGGACTACACCCACTTCCTGGGCATCGTGGGAAAGGTGATCAATGTGCTGAGTACTTTCGCCTGGAACTTCAATGACATTTTCGTGATGGCTGTTAGTGTGGCTTTAGCTGCTCGTTTTCGGCAGCTCAATGATTACATGATGAGAGAGGCTAGATTGGTGAGGATTTCTAGCTTATCATCGATCATACTGGGTACTAAATATTTTATCACATTTTTAGCCCACCACTGTGGACCATTGGATGCAGTGTAGGATTAACTTCCGGAACCTTTGCAAACTCTGCGAGGAGGTGGACGATGCCATTTCCACTATTACTCTACTTTGCTTCAGCAACAATCTGTACTTCATATGTGGAAAAATCCTGAAAAGCATGCAGTAAGTTTTTAGGATCTATCTTGTATAGAAAATTATTATTTTAAATATTTATATATTATAAGAAATATTTATAGAAATATTCCATATCATAATCTATTTTCTATTTATTATTTTTTTTATTAACATAAAACTTTCAAATAATATTTTTATTAATAAACTTTTTTCAGGGCCAAGCCGTCTATTTTGCACACCCTGTACTTTTGGTTCTCACTCAGCTATCTACTTGGTCGCACTCTCATCCTATCTCTATATAGCTCCAGTATCAATGATGAGTCTAAGCGACCTCTAGTCATCTTTCGCTTGGTTCCCAGGGAATTTTGGTGCGATGAGGTAAAAAACTTTATTTTTCAATACTCAAAATTTTACAATCATTCTTAACTTTCCAGCTTAAACGCTTTTCGGAGGAGGTCCAAATGGACAATGTGGCTCTAACTGGCATGAAGTTCTTTCGCCTCACACGCGGCGTTGTCATTTCGGTTTGTATCAAAACAAACTAAAATGTTGCAAAAATATCCAATTATAGAACTATACTATATCCCTAGGTGGCCGGCACAATTGTGACCTACGAGCTAATTTTGCTGCAGTTCAACGGCGAGGAAAAGGTGGCCGGCTGCTTTGAAAGCTGAACTTTTGGGGGTGGGACAAAAGAGGGTTAAACCTGCAAAATGTGTACTTTTAGTGTTGCTGTTCCTTAATTATAGATAAGTGCAAAACAACAGGTGTTTTTAATAGTCATTGGGCACTCACAGTGGGTCATTTCAGTTGACAGGGCCAATCCTTTCGAGCAGTTTGCCCCGGCGATTGAAACAAGGTGGTCGCAGGATGAAGTTCTTGCCGAAACTGGAGCGCAAGTTCCGCCGGCTGAAGAAGAAGGTGACCAGAACACCATTGGTTAGGAAACTGGATTTAGTTCACGAGAGGTGGGTGGGTATAGGAAAAGTCTTTCCTTGTTCTTATACGTTAAGCTAAAGTTTGTATAATATCCTTGATCGATTCGGCATTAATTTATTCACATCACTTGTAAATTGATCCCATTTAATTTATAAGTATTTTAATTTAATTTTCCTTCTGGCTATTGAAATATTTAAATAAGGGTTAAGTACAAAAAATTCCAGAATTCTGGTATTAAGTATTATAAATCTTTATTTAGTGCCCGTAAAAAGGCCTTTCAGGAAAGTTGTGAAACCTACAAAAATCACATGGAGAATGAGTACGAGCTGCGGACTAAACAGCCAAGTAATAAATAATTTTCGAAGTAAATTTAAATTAAGTAATCTTAAATTTAAATAGAGCTATCCCGCAGCAACAAGGAGGCATTCCTCAGCGATGGAAGTTTCCACCAGGCAGTGGGCAGAGTTCTCCTCGTGGCCGAATTCTTTGCCATGATGCCGGTCAAGGGAGTGACGGGCAAACATCCTTCAAACCTGAGCTTCTCCTGGCGAAACATTCGCACCGGTTTCTGTCTGGCCTTCATCGCATCAAGCATAGCCAACTTTGGACTATCGTTGTTTAAGGTTTTGAACAATCCAATCAGTTTCAACAGTATTAAGCCCATTATATTCCGTGGATCTGTGCTTCTCGTATTGATAGTGGCTCTCAAGTTGGCGCGGCAGTGGCCCCAGTTGATGATGTATTGGCACACGGTGGAGAAGGATCTGCCGCAGTATAAAACGCAGTTGGGCAAGTGGAAGATGGGCCACACCATATCGATGGTCATGCTGGTGGGAATGATGCTGTCCTTTGGTGAGTTTAATAATTTAACACACTCATAAAAATTAATTTCCAAATTAAATCGGCTTACCTTTGAAAGTAGAAAAAAAATTCTGCTTATTAGAAAATTTGCCTTTGAATATAGAAAACCTTTCTAGTCGAACAAAATTCAAGAAAGAATTTTCTAGATTTTAAGGAAATTCTTCTATTTTTTTATGAGTGCAGATTTTAGTTACTATAATCCATTTTTCCATCCTAGCGGAGCACATTTTGAGTATGGTATCGGCCATAAACTATGCTTCATTCTGTAACCGCACCGCTGATCCCATCCAGAATTATTTCCTGCGCACCAACGATGAGATCTTTTTTGTGGCCAGCTACTCCACTCCTTTGGCCTTGTGGGGCAAGTTCCAGAATGTCTACTCCACCTTCATTTGGAACTACATGGACATGTTTGTGATGATTGTCAGCATTGGTTTGGCCTCCAAGTTTCGCCAGCTCAACGATGATTTGCGAAATTTCAAAGGAATGGTAAATTGACTTTAATTGCATATCATTTTTAAATGAATAAAAATTATTACTTGCAGAACATGGCACCTGCTTACTGGTCAGAACGTAGAATTCAATATAGGAATATATGTATTCTATGCGACAAAATGGATGATGCTATATCCCTTATAACAATGGTGTCGTTCTCAAACAATTTATATTTTATATGCGTCCAATTGCTGAGAAGTTTAAAGTGAGTTTTTAAACTTGATAGAGTTTCAATTGATGAGTTTTTATCTTGATTTCTAGCACCATGCCTTCGGTGGCCCATGCTGTGTACTTTTACTTCTCGCTCATCTTCCTGATTGGTCGCACTTTGGCGGTTTCACTGTACTCCGCCAGTGTGCATGACGAATCCAGGTTAACCTTGAGATATCTGCGCTGTGTGCCCAAGGAGTCCTGGTGTCCAGAGGTAAAACGATTTACGGAGGAGGTAATCAGCGATGAGGTGGCGCTCAGTGGAATGAAGTTTTTCCACCTCACAAGGAAGCTGGTGTTGAGTGTAGGTTTAGGAAAAATATAAAAAAATAAATAAATTAATTAATTTTTCCAGGTTGCCGGCACCATTGTCACCTACGAACTCGTTCTCATTCAATTTCACGAGGACAACGACCTGTGGGACTGCGACCAGAGCTACTACTCATAGGTTTATTGCGTATAATAAATAAAAAATCATCTTGCACTTTATTATTATTGTTTGTTTAAAGCGGTAAAAGGAAACCAACAAAATGTCGCTCTTAATATCAATCGGTTACGGTTACACATTGCCTAATTGTACGTCACATTATCCGCTAGAGAGATTCTACATGTGTGGTCGCTAGTTTCTTTTCACTTACAGACTAATCGGCTAACTCTGATGGTGGATGAGATATAAATGGGGGCTGTCCACTGGCATGGGGTCTCTCAGTGTCAGCGAAATCGACGTGCTTCGAACGCTTGGAATATACAATATGCGACATACGATATTGGATGCAAAATTCAGCTAAAGATTTTCAATTACTTATGCTTAAGTTTCAGTTTAGTGTTCCAACTTCGGGTTTTCACAAAGAAAAGGTAACATGTTCGGAAGTTTGGTGGTTTCTGGTTACATATGTCTGTTCCATTACAAAATATATATATGAAGCGGAAGCTACACGATAACTACATGGTATCATTATGTATGCGGGTGTATATATAGGATCTACTAATACGAATTCTACGATGTCTATCCTTTTTGCCAATAAAGAACTACAAAAACTTGTTCGATGTTTCTTGCTGAACGCCTTCACGCTTCACACGGAAAAATGCAGGAGGGGGAATCCGGATTCGACTCGACTGAGAGAAGGCAAACATAAAGTATCACAAAGATTGAGATCTTAAATTAAAGCATAGCGAGAGAGGATTAGCCTTAGTCTGTATTGAAGATGGGTAGGAATGCAGAGCGAGTGTGGCATGAATGCGTTGCGTTTGCATTAGCGTTTGTTGAGTAAAACAAGTCTGGGTCCTCAGTGCCGTTTGGCGTCGTATTGCTTGACCTTCTCCGGAATGGCCGCCTTCTCCACGACCACGTGACTGCCGAGCTCCTCCAGGGACTTGACGTAGACCAGCTTGCGCCAGAACTTTGTGCTGTGGAGGATAAATGAGTATATATTACAAATTATATTAAAAACTATGAATATTTGTACTCACCTCACAAAAGGCCTTGCCATCCACACCAAAGACTTGATCCAGAAAGTGGGATGCACCAAATACATGTGCTTGAGGCTCTTGCGCAGCCGGCGATCCAGCAGCTGGTAGCATCTAATCAGGATTTAAACAAATATTTAATTACTAATGAGTAAGAATAAGTAATAGTGAGTAAAACCCACCTTTTGAGCCAGGGAAAGGGCGGCACATTTCGCCTATTAGAGCCGCCATGCAGATAGATCAGCACATAGTCATCGGTGACCAGCTGCTCCAAAGTCTTGACCACGTACAAGAACAGGTTGTCCATCACATAGCTGTAGTCGGCCCTCGATCTATCCGGCAAATGGCAGGCGCAGAAGATGACTATGGCGTTTTGGCCGCCAGATTTTAGATAACCTCCATGCGACAGCACACGCTTGTAGGGCTCGATGACCCGCATGTCGATCTCCCTGGTCCTGCCATCCGGTAATGTGATCTTCTGCCAGTTCCGCGAGTCTCGCCGCTCCTCGGCAGCCGTATATTGTGGCAGACTGGAGGCAGCGGCAGCAGATGCTGCCACATTTGGCGTGGGCGTGGTGGCCAAACCGAACTCCAGGTCCAGTTCCAGATCGTCATCGTGGTCGGGCAGCAGCTCCGGACCCTCGCAATCGTCGTCGTCATCCTCGCCGTCCAAACCATCGATCAGGGAGCTCGACGGGCTCAAGGAGGCCAGATTGTGCTCGATGTCCTCGTCGTCGTCGAAGCTGTGATTCGAGATGGAGTCCAGGCTGGAGATGTCCTCGCCACCGGACTTCTTGGCCTTTTTGCCATTGCCGTTGTTGGGCATCAGGGAGACCGACTGAAAGTTGGACTCCACGGCGGCCAGATACTGGGACACATCCGCCTCCGATTCGCTGCTCAGGATGTCCGGACTGTTGGCCCTCAGCAAAGTGACCTTGGCGTCCTGCGGCTTGTTCCTGGTTTGATTCAAGCTATTCTTCACCTGCACCTGCGTCTCCGTGGCGGGCACAACGTCCGGGAAGTTGCTCCGCGGCGCCTGCTTCTCGGAGGGCTTCTTCAGGGGCTTCTGGAAGGGCTCCGAATCGGAGTCCGTGTTCGTGGGCGACATCATCAGCGGATGGCTGTTGGCCAAGGTTCGTTCGATGGCCTGTCGCTGGGGCATCGCCTCCACGAGGGGAAGCAGCTCCGGACGCAGTATTCGGTTGTCCAGAGCGGAGTTAGTCGTCTCCAGATCCTTCTGCTCCTCCTTCTCCAATTCCAGGATATTCTTCGGCTCGCCAGTGGACACCACTTCATCGGCCAGCGGCGAGACGCCCGTGGAGTCCGTCGGCGTCTCCGAGATGTCCATTTTGCTCTCTGACTGCGAAGATTCCGATTCCGCGTAGTGCGAACTGCAAATCGATTAGTCATATATGTGGTTTTGTTTTCGCTGCCGACGCTGCCATTTACCTCATAGTTTCCAGTGTTTTGCGTGCGGCTGGTGCGAAAGTTCGGTGGCCCGGTCAGCCAGGCACTCATCTAGTCGCTCCGGGCATCGGTGCTGGTTGGATGAGTCAGGCTTTGTGGCCCAAATTCGCAGATATTTAAATGCCAGTAAACAAATTTTACACTCTTGAGCGTAGCGTTGCCAGATGGTCGCGAGTGTGTGGGAGGAAGTGTTGGGTAGCGTGGGTTTGCGGGACATCTGGCAGGGCTATATAACGGTAGAAATTTAAAAAAAAATATATTTATGGCGAATTGCAATTAATTCATTTTGTTGTAATTACAAATATATTTGAATTCGTTAAACCAATATTAATTGCAATATTATTTGACTAAGTTAAATGCTGTATACTTTAAATATAAATTAAAGATTAAAATGTTGATTTTCAATTTATTAAAAATGATGATTTCGATTATTTAAATATTTCTTTTTTTTTATAATTTAAAATACGTTTTTTCTCTCAGTGCCACTTAATTCCGACCGTCTGGCAACCCCATGCGCGATATACTTTTTCCTGCTGCTGCGGTCACACTGAAGTGCTGTGCGTCGCGAAAATAATTAATTTTTAGCCCGTAAACAACCCGTTAGCGCAATGGAGGCAACCAGGATCACCGTTAGCGGCGGCAGTGCAGTGCCCGTCAGCGCCCCCAATCCCCCCGCAGTGCTCGGCAACCCCGCAGCTGCGAGCACACTAATCCAAGTAGGCGTGTTGCCAGCAACAACAACCATACCAACAATAGCAGCCACAACAACAACAACAACAGTAGGAAGTACAGCTAACATTTCAGCTGTAATTTCGACACCACTACGAAATCCGATTCAAAATCTACCGATTGAACTGCAAAACGATCAAAAGCGAAGAAGGTAAATCGATGACAGATGTCAAATGTCAAGTGTCAAACCAAAAAAAAAAAACTAATTGTCAAACATTTAACCCTTACAGTTCATCGCGGACGATTAAAAGGAAGCGTTTTGATGACGAAATAGTCGAGTACAACATTGCAGTGCCCACGAATCGCGGCGGAGCAGACCCGAATCGCAGCAGCAGACCGCGCACCACCTCCCAGAATTATCCCGCCCTGGTGGGCGTGCCACATACCACGTTAGCACCACTTAACTTGCCCATTTCCACGCCGGAAACGCCGCAGACGCCGGGTTCCGTGGATTCCATACTACCCGGGACTCCGAGTACGCCCGCCTCACTGCCCCTGGCTACGCCCACCACTCCCGCCCCTCTGCTGGCCACGCCCCTTTCCTCGGTACCGTCACCCATTGTTGCCTCCTCCAGCGTTGTGCATCCCAAACCGCCCGCAATGGAGCGTCCTTCGACCAGCGAGCGGCGTTCGCGTCCAGTGCGTCCGGCGAGCAAGAAATCGCAGCGCAAAAACGGTCGTCCCATGGGCCAGATGGCCACCAAGGATCTGGGTCGCTGGAAGCCTATCGATGACCTGGCCTTGATCATAGGGATTCAGCAGACCAACGATCTGAGGATCATCCATCGCGGCGTGAAGTTCTCGTGCAAGTTTACGCTGCAGGAACTCCAGCAGCGTTGGTATGCCTTGCTCTATGAGCCCGCTGTGTCCAGGATTGCCGTGTCCGCCATGAGGAACCTGCATCCCGAGCTGGTGGAGTCCGTTCAGCGGAAGGCCCTGTACAGCGTGCAGGAGGAGGACCTTTTGGGCACCATTAAGAGTGTAGGTATTTTAGAGTCCTGCATGAATGGATTCAATTAATTATTTTGAATTTTTTGTTTTATATGAATGAGTTAATTAGAATTTTGAGTTTAATAGAATTGAATGAATTTTAATAGAATTGAATGAATGAATGGCATGAATTCTGAAATAATTCAAACGACTATTTCTGTTTTTTTAAATCTGATTTCTAATTAAATCTTCATGAATTTTATTTTCTAAGCAGTTAACAATGATTTGTTTCAAGAGAAAGCACAAAATAATCTGGCAAATTCATAAAAACTATTCATTCATTCGTTCAATTCGAAATCAGTAAGAAAAACATTCAATTTATTTCACATAGAATTGAATTAAACAAATCCGAAATTTCATGGCATACTATGATAAAACAAAAATTGAATGATTCACGCAGGGCTCTAGTAGGTAATACCTTCTTTTATAAGATTTAATATCTGACTTATCTGTATTTCCCATCCCCAGTCGGAGCAACCCAAACTGGAGCAGTTCCAGGAACTCCTAGACAAGAATGCCTCTGTTTTCTACTGCGCACGCACTGCCAAATCTCTGCACAACCATTGGCTGCTCCTCAAGCAGTACAGCCTGCTGCCGGATCAGACAGTGAAGCCTCTTTACGGCTCCGATCAGCAGCCCCTGAGCTTCTCGGATGCCGAGGATCAGATCTTCGAGCATGACTTGAATGAGCCGCGCGACGAGGCTCTGGAAATGGAGCGAGCATTGGCCGATCGGCGGAATAAACGTGATATACGCCTGCTGGAGAACGAACTGTCGCGCTGGGGCGTTCTCGTGGATTCGGTGCTCAGTCCCACGGCTGCCTCCGAGTTCGACAACCAGACGCTGGCCTGTCTGTGCGGCCGCCATGTGCGCTATCTGATGCGCTCCAAGGAGATCACCTTCGGCCGCGATGCCAAGGAGTGCGTGGTGGATGTCGATCTGGGACTCGAGGGCCCGGCGGCGAAGATCTCGCGACGCCAGGGAACCATCAAGTTGCGCAGCAACGGCGACTTCTTCATCGCCAACGAGGGCAAGCGGGCCATCTTCATCGACGGCACCCCGCTGCTGTCGGCCAACAAGGCGCGGCTGGCCCACAACTGCACCGTGGAAATCTCGGGGCTGCGCTTCACCTTCCTGGTCAACTACGAGCTGATCAACGCCATCCGGCAGGAGAGCGCCAAGACATCGAATCCCCTCAACTAGCTGCGCTTGGAGCGAGCTGGATGCGAGTCTTAAATGTATTCTAGTACTTAGTGAGCAGCAAGAAGAGAATTCTGAAATAAACACACAGCATATGGACAATATGTAAACCCATAAATCTTTTAAAACGTCGAATTTTTAGAAATGTTTTATTGCTTATTTGGTGGATCATTTGCAAGTTCCAAACTGATAAGAATTTACATAGTTTTATGTGTAATTTTACATTTTAAAGATATAAATTTGTATAAAATCTAACGCAAAATAACAAAAGATTGTAAAAAGTTTATTTTGTAAAAGTTTTCACTTTGATATTGATACATTTATTGTTTAATCATTTCATTTCTAATGATTATCTTAAATGTAAAGCTACTTCCTTAGTAGAAATAAGTTTTAATACGATCGAATGCTTTTAATTATCATATTAACGACTTGAATCCAAACTTTATCTGTACCAAGTAATTTAGAGTGCTAAACGCCCACTCTGCAAACTCGACAACCGCAACGCCTCCAATCGAACGGAAGCTGCCGGCGTCTTTTTCCACAGTCTATTGTAAAACCGAGTGGAAGTGGTAAAGTGGTAAAAGAGCTTAAGAGTTCTCCCGGATGGGGTCAGTTCTGCCCACGAGAAGCCGTCTCGCGTCTGTCTCCAGACTCCTACGACTGTGTCATGTGGCTAATTGGCGACTAACCCGTAAGCTGCTATTAATTACAGCTCAGTCGCTGGAAAGTGGCAACACACACCATCCACAGATCCATCCATCTAACCATTCTATCCATAACTATTCTGTTCGCATGTCACCAGCAACAACGACGTTTACAAAGGTGAATTAAGCAACAAAGATTCGCAGCTCTGAGAAGACTCACGCGATTGTATAATAGTTCTTTCTTCTGGGAGGGTCGCTCGATGGGTTCCCAACTCGGGGAGGTTCACTTGTCACGGCAATTAAGTTACGCAAATTTGTTCGACCTTGCGCCTTGGGAGCTCCACTGGTTCCATAGTTTTTCGCATTTACAAATTGTAACAGATCGCAGATCTGCAGAGATCGGGGGAGATTGACTACCCCGACAAAGTTATAAATGATGGCAGCTGTTAGGGTAATTAATTGAGCCACCGACAGCCGGGGGACCATGACACCTAATATAGAAATTAGTCGCGCGAAAGAACAGGGAGAAAGTTCGATGACATTCTGCGGCGGCCTTTCTTCGAGGTCGACTTTGGGTTCGATGATGCGATGGAGGGGTTCTTTAATTTGTATTGTTGATACTATAAACTAATAAGCCAAGAGCTGCGCAGCACATATTAAAATATAATTAATTGTTGTCACTGTCTATAAAAAGTCAATTTACCTTGCCATCGCCGTCGTACCGGGAATTTCAAATTTCGATAGCCCTCTGTTCTTCGATCGCCCCAAACTCTCCATTATTCTTCGCTTTGTTCCCAGTGGAATTCCAAATTCTAACGTTGATTTGTGTGCATTTTTTTGTCCGCTGACCAATCTTCGGCTGCTGCTTTCTTCGATGATGATGGTGAGATGGTAGAGATGGTTAGATGGTGAGATGGTTAGATGGTGATGATGCCAGGGCTAATGAAGCCCGGCTTTGTCTTATTATATTTTGTATCTTTTGTGCAGTTCAGCGAACTTTTGTTGTTGCTGACTCGATATTCCGATATTTTGGCGATGTCGCAACTGCTAAAATTAGTCTGAAATTTCGCGAGATCTTTCTCTTCCCGATTCCCTATTAGCGTAGGTCATGCTGTTTTTTTACACTCATACAAATTGGTTTTTAAGTATAAAAGAAAAAGCTGTCATGAAAATTAAATCACTTTTAATTGAGAAATTATGAGCTAAAATTAAAATAATATATTTGTAATTATTACAATTAAAAAGTTTCTTAAAATGCAGTTAAAATTTGAAACTACAAATCATTATAACTTTGAGAAAAATGTCTATTCAATTTTTTTTTATTTTCAGTTTTTAATTTACCTTTAAAACAAAGATATATTTAAGATATATTGTTTTAAATCTAGGACATTTTATTGTTATGGTTCATTATAGAAAAATCACCCATAAACCAAAAAATATTTAACTAAATCTATATTTTTGGAAATATGGTTTATGTATACTTAAACTTTTCCCCATTGCCTCTTATCTATTTCGTTGTTTTTAGAACGATTTTGAGATACAATTTTTAGAGTGTAGAACCGGGCTCCAAAGTGACCGAAGTGGAGCACCATCGTCCACTCCATTTTATGCTGGCATTGCGTGGGGGTCTTGAGCCAAAAGTTAGAACTTTCACAGTCCAACGGCTGAGATCATAGCTTAGCCATAGATCTTGGCCATATATGATTTATATAGTGCTAAACTAAAAAACACCTGAGCCGAGCTTGGCCCAGTTGGGCTGATATAATGCCTTGATTATCGCATTGCATTATATAAAGTAAACAAATGAAATTGTCACAGCGCCCCAAGATTTCGTGACTTTGCAGGAAAATGGCCAAAGTAAAAAACAATCGAACTGGGGGCCATAAAAATAGCCTACTGATCAGTTTGCCGAATTGAAATATGCCAAAATCAGTTCCCCCCTTTTTTCTTACAGCACCTGCCATATGTATTGTGTGATTATTTAATTAAATTCAATTCAATTCAAGAAAACAAAACATTTATAGCCGTTAGTCAGTCATTGTTGTTGTAGCTGCAGTTTGGTTTTCATTTTGCTAATCGCATTTCAATCAATTTCATTTCAATTGTCAATGGTTCGAAGAGCACTGGGTTGCACTGAAAAATATTTAATAATGTTTTTTTGTAATTTTTGTATTTTTTTTTATTATGGAAACAATTAAAAGGAAGGAATACAATAAATGTTCTGTTAAATTTATTAAAAAAAACGAATTTTACAAAAATGGAACTCCTGTTATTACATTTTTAATTTTTTTTAAATATTTAAGAAAATTTTAAGGAATCTAAAATTATATTAATAATTAAATCATTTAAACATTTTACATTTTATTTATTTTTCCTTCTATTTCCGCTTCTATTTCTTTAAAACAAAAGACAATACAAATCATAAAAAAATGAAATTAGGTAACCACAAATTAAATATATTTTTTCCTGTACTTAAATCGCCTCCAAAAGGGGGCGTGGCTGCTTCTGTTTGGAGCGACATTTGCCGTAGACACGCATGTCAAGCGAATGCGTCATGTGAAATATTCAAATTTCGCTTTGTGTTTTTGGCATGTAACGCATAAATAATCCGAAAACCCCCAAACACACAAATCGAGAGACTCAAAACTCAAAACAGTTTTGTTCCGCGTCGCTCATACGCACAGTGGGTCGTCAAAGTCAAAGTCCAGACGCTGTGAGCTGCATTGGTAATTGGTAATGGAATAGCCGTGTGGCTTTGTTTATTGAACTAGCTGGCAAATATATTGTATCTCTAGCGCTCGTCTATGATTATTCATGGAATGCTCGCTGATTTATCCCTATCCCCTACATTTCCAAAAATGATTTCATGCGCCGCTGTGACGTCAGCTGCATCGGATATATATATATACCTTATAGCTATATGGTTGATATGATAGGTTTGTCAGATTGACTTGGAGGCCTTGGAGTTCGCTGCTCCATTAGACGCAAAGCGACTCCGAGTCGCCCACGCACTTGATATTTACCAACAACAATGGCAGCCAGTGGCGCCAAAAAAAGCAAGTTCAATTTGCAACTCCACTTTCGGGTCTTAAGATCTTAAGAGACCATACAGATACCATCGAGTGCCAGACACTTTTTCGCCGACGAGACAAATAATTACAACGACTTTGATTTTTTAATTAATTCGAGCCACAAGGCGAGCGAAAAGATACAGATACAGATGGTTAGAGATACGGATACGCCATTAGAAATCATATGTCGGACTTTTATTATCCGTGTGGGCTGTAGTTGGGCTTGTTGTTTTATTTCTAGGTTTTGTTTTTTGTTTTCTTGGCTTCTAATGGATTATGAATATGGCAGCATACCCTATTCGAGAGCTTTATAATTTAGGGCAGGGGAATGGTTCTAAACGTAATCCAAAACAATCTTGCTGTCTAATAGAAGATTATTTATGGGGCAAGATATTTAAATCATGTTTAACTATTAATTTATATGCTTTTAAATTATTTAATAATAAGCAAGTAATTTCAATTTAAAGTAATATTTACAAGTAATTTATAGACTAGAAATTATAGACTACTAAAATGGGAAAATTTATTTTATTTTTTATAATATTTTGAATCTATCAAAAACAATTAAAAAATACTTTCTTTTAAGGATAGTTGCATTCATAAATATGATTTTGTTAATTAAGTTTGTAAATATATACTTTTACAATTGTACTTAAATATATATTACTAACTTAAACAATTGTTTAAGAAGAAAAACAATAACTAGTAATATTTTAATAATTTTACAAATATTTAAAAACCTATTGAAAGCGACAAAATAAATATAAATAGTTATAGATTTTCAGAAAACTGTTCATACTTAAATCTCAAAGTTATTGCCATTAAGTAGGTGATCTAATACGTGCTAATTAGGTGGGTAGCCCCGAAATGAATCATTGATATAGGGAACGCAATCTAGACCCCCTTCTCTTCCGCTTTTAATTAGATAATGCCTCTCCCTCCAGCGAAGGGTATAAAAATCAGTGTGCACTTGGCCTTTCTCCCTTGACTATCAAATATTTACGTTGCCAGCAAAAATCGCTGACTCAAATTGTGAATTTTTTTTCTATTATTTTTAGATGTGTTTATTTGTCTCGATATAAAAATTGCTTGGGGTATTTTAATAATAATTTTTGTGAACCGATCGGAAACTGTCGAGACGTGAAGTTATCTAACTCCACTTCGATTTGAACCCGCTTCGCACTTCAAGATCCAACATGCCAAGGCCGCTCGCAAAACCCTTTCGAAAATGAAACGGCTTAGCACCTGAAACCCGAGGTATTTATCACTCATTTAGCTTGGAGCTTAGATAAAGATGCACTGAACCAGCTATGTGCGATCTTTAGACCCGACTGGCTGGCAATTAGATTTAATTATTCTATGTGCAATGCGATATGTGTGAGGCATAGAAGTTCGATTTTGGCGCGTGACAATTGCGGGTGGGCCTGTGAAATCGGCTTACTCCTCCGAGAGCTCCCCCCAAAGTAGATTAAATTGGCCCAAGCAGAACTGACAAAAAACGATACGACGAACCCACAGAGCCGAAGCTTTGGCGCTCGCTTTTGAACCGAAGCGGTTTCGAATTTGAAGTTTTTAAACCGTCAACTAAGCCCGCTGCGAATTTAGTGGCAAACGAGCCAGCCAGTCGACCGGACGAACACGAGAGCGCGAGTTTGAAAATAAAAACTGAAATTCAAAACCCAGCGAGAAAAACGATCGCATATTGCAGCGACGAGCGTGGGCTGCAATCGGAAGTGTGTTGGAAAAATAAATATTTAAAAAATAAACAAAACAAAGCCAGCAGCTTGGAAGCCTCGCTGGAACTAATTGCCAATATAATGAAGATTGCCAAAATTGGCAAGAGCTGAGAAAAATAATAAGATATTTCGGAAAAATCTTGTGCGTGTGTACAGAGCCGTGAAAAGCCAACGGCTAATAAATTGCAAATTAAATCGGGAAAAATATTGGAAAGCATCGGAAGATCACCATGAAATCGTGGCTGGTAAGTTAGGATTTTTTAGCCAGCTTTTAATCAGCGATAAGTTGTGTACAAGACAAATTTTAAGTGTTTAAAAGAAAAAATCGGCATAAATAAAATAAAGGGTTGATTAGTTTTTAGTTCTCATCCATTTTGACCTCATCGCAGCGGTTCTTGTTCTTCAGTAGATAGGTGGCCAGATAGCTCACGGGATCACTGGGTCGATCTCGGGCCAAAGCCTGCAGTCCGTGGAGCAAAATGGGGGCCACTGTCTGGTCAAGATATTGGCGCACCGGCAGGGAATTGGCATCCGGACGCGGCTTCTGGCAGGCGGCAAAGGCACTGGGTGCTGCTCCTCCTCCTCCCTCCATCGATTGCTGCGAGTTGGAGTCGTTCTTGACCAGATCGCCGGTGGCAAGGAAGCTGCCGTCCCCCTGAGACATTGGCATTGTTGGGCTGTGTCGGAAATATTTTATTTAAATTTAAATTCGATCAAGAATATAGCAAATTAATTATTCAGATTTTCGTCAGAAAGCGCAAAAGTGTTTAAAAGTGTTTTTTAGTAATAACTTTACTTACATGTTGATTTTAAGAAATATATATGTTTTTTTTTTAGTTTATAATACGAACTGAGCTCTAACCGCTTTGAATCTTGCAAATAGAATGATGTGTCTATAGGTTTTTCACCCACAATCTACTGAAATCAAAGGCTTGGCCTGCTAAATGACAGCACAAGTCAAAACATTTCTCATTTTAAAATACTTTATTGTATAACAGTGTTGGGGAAGTTAATATTTCATTGCACCTTGTTGAAAATAAAATAATAGGATTTACAAAGTAGATTTGTAATGATCTAAAGTCCAGTAATTACAATTTAATGTTTTAAAAATTTTAAATATTTATCTTTTATTACATTTTTTTCAAAAAATTTAGAAAGTTAAAATTTGTTTGAAAGAATATTTGATCAATTACAATTTTTGAAAACTACAGATTTAATATATTAAAATCTTAAAGTCAATATTAAATTTAGAACAAAATTGTTTAAACATAATTAAATTATTTACAAATTTGTAATAAATGGTTAATATATAATGGTTGTTTCTTGAATGCATCTAACAACGATTAACTATTCTTTTGTGGATAAAGAAAATGTTGTTTAGAAATTTAAAGAATATAGTTTCTTATTTTGTCACCGCTTTATTTTGTATTGAATGCTTTCGATGATGTCACCCAGAGTTTTCCCATCACTTTGTAGCCGGCTTTCGGTTTGAATTTCAATCACCCTTTAGACGGGTCGTAAATCCATCCATACTCCCATAGATAACCGCCTCTGACCTCGACCCAAAATTAATGTGAAGCGAACAAGATTTAGGAGCAGCATTCGGTTTTGTTTTACGGGTTTCTGCTAAAGTTGGGGAATTAACCACGGCACTTATCTCTACTAAGTGGCTACTCCTAAGTAACCCCCAACTAATTAAGCAGTTAGAGGAGCAGATGGGAACCAAGTGCAATGCCCATAAATTTATGTCCCCCCATCTTGCAAACTTGTCGCTAATTTGGATTTCAAAACGAAGCAGCTGGCGATGGGGTAACCCTTGATCGGTGGGGTTCCATAATCCGGTCGGCAGCCATGTAAACGTGTTCTAAGAGTCGTAAAATCGGTGTAGAATCGCCTGCTAAATTGTTTGCTTATGTTTGGCAACACTTAATTCTTAATTGCCCCCTGTAAATCACACACAACTCACTTCATCTCCCTCGCACCTTCCCTTATAGATACGTTTTTTTATGCGAAATTTATTGAATAATTCATGGGAAGTGATTAACACATATTTCGCTGCGAGAGACGCGAGAAACCTGTAGTTTTTGACCCATATTTGAGATAATTTTGCCAGAAATTTGAATACAAATAGAAGCGGTCAGAAAAAAAAAACAAATACAAAAAATCAGAGGGGAAAATTAAAGGGGGTAAAAGCTAGATGCCCTAACTGTTCTCGGAGGCCTCAATCATTCGGAATTTCGAGTTTCGACAAAAATCGTGCATTACATGGCGGCTTCCCCCAGATATTGATCAGCGAAGAGAAGCTAGAGAAATGAAGAGCCCGCCAAAGGTCACTGGCATCTTATGATGATGATGTTAAAGATGATTATGGGCTATTCAGATAGTTATTCACTCGGAGTATCTGTGTATCTTTGTATCGTTTTTTCTTCAGTGGGCAGCAGCACGTGGGCCTTACATCTGGTTTGCTTTGAAGGGAACTTCGGAAAGGGCCAACAAATCAAAACAAAATAAAACAGTGGAGGTGAAAAACCCAACTGCAGCCCACAATTGCGCAAATCTCTAGAGGAGAAAGAGAGGGGGGAATTGAGATGAAAAGAGGTAGTTTAGTATATGCAAATCAGTTGGTGAGGCATCAAAAACCAAAATAGCAAAACAAAGACGCCAAAAAACAGAGCATTTATTTTAAAACTTGGGAATCGAAGATGTCAATAGCCTAAAATAATTGTAAACAAATTATTAAACTTGCTTGGTAAAAAATGTTGAATACTTCTTATTACTTCTACCTACAAAAATTATTAATAAAAAATTAAGAATATTAAAAATTGTATTACTAATTTTGTTATTATTATGTTCTCTTTACTACCCACAATAAAATATCAAGTTCAGTCAAATTAAGTTCAGTTAAATTTGTTGTTCAAAGTTATTATAAAAATAAATACAACAGGAAAAAATAAAAATATTATAAAATTCACAAATATAATTTATAATCGAATAATAAATATGCCCAACATTTTTTATAGGTGCGAGTTTCTCTTTCCCTTTTGTTACAAAAATGCCCAAAAATATATCACAACCCATTCTAGGGCACTCAAAAGAAACCGAAAAACAGAGCAGGGCGAAATTAGCGCAACTGAATTAATTAAAGCAGTGGAATCACTTGCCACATTTTACTTTTATTATTTATGCGACCTTGAGGGAGAGTCCGAGTTCGAAAAAAAAGAAAGAGATAGCGAAAGAGTGACAAAAAATAAATTCAAATTGTCTTTGCCATTTTGCCTCGCACTTTTCTTCGCTTTGAAGAGCCAAAAAAAATAAACCCAGACTCCGAAACAGATTAGTTGCCCTACGATAATTATGCAAGTTCCCTCCTAGATGGATTGATATATGGGCGGGCGATTTTTGTGTTTCTCATGTTTTTCATTTCACAATTACCCATTATTAAATATCATTTCAAATGGAACCCGCCCTCCGCCGGCGGCTAATTCGCATTTTGTTTTTCTGCATTTCACGCATAAATTATTTGGCCATAAACTGTATTTTTGGCCACAGACGATCGATGATGCTGCAACTTTCGGCCACATTCCGCCGACACATCGAGATATCTTTCTATCTATCTATATATTTTTCTGACCCAATTCCTTTTGTTCGTCCAGAGGAGGTGGCTAATTTAGCTGGCCATTTTATCATAGTTCACACGCCAGAGAATTTTGCACTGTTTTTTTTAATGGCCTTCTTAACAAATTAGCAACAGCTGCTGCTGTTTTTTGCAGTCGAATGGGAAGCGGATCCAAATGCGGTCACAGCCTTAAGTGGCGGGTCACCTCAGAAGTGAGTGATGTGGGAAGATGTTCTGGGTGAGACTCACCGGCAATTAATCCATTAGGTCACCCATGAGAGTTAGGCTATTAAATACTTACAATTTGGTGAGTACTTTTAAGAGTTTGTCTATATAATTAAAGGCAATATTTAGTTATGGCCCATACATTCTAGTATGTTCAAAATAAATTAAATTTTAAAATCGGAATATTCATTAAAAAGTTATGAGCAAATAATGAAATGCAAGCAGTCCATTTTCTATTTGCATAACTTTATCTCCCTCGAACTGCTATGAATATTTAAATTTCCTTTTGGGTGTTGGCTTGGAATCCTTCGACTTCAAAATTCCATTTCCTTGTCACACTTCTGTCTTTCCCGCCCCAAATTTTTGAAAAAAGCATAAAGCTAACTGGTAACTGACAGTTCGCAGTTGTTAGAGTGCAAACGAGGCAACCACGCTTGCAGTCAGAGACACTTTTGCCCACACAAGAACTGACAGCGAGCGAGCGAGGAACAATGTCGCCAGTTTATCGGGCAGAATAAGAAATATATGCAGAGATACCCAGCGTATAATATAAGTGAGTCCCACGCATGGGACACCGGTTGAATGCCAGATGAGGGAGCTGCTGAGGGGCCACAGATGCTAATCAATCCGCTTGGCATCGAAAGTATGCCAAAGTCAGCCGGCTGGCCTGGCCCTTTTTTCCATTTTCCCAACCCAGTGGCAATGGAAATTTCACACAGCGGAAAACGTTTGTCAAATAATCAAATTTAAATATATTTTGTTGTGTTACTAAACTAATATTATCTTAAAATTAAATTTTGTTTTGTGCTTTTAATCGATTTTGATGATTTCAAAGTTGTAATATAAAACATATGGCGCCCGAGCAAAACAATATTTTTAAAGGAAAATTTTAATTTTAATACCTTTTGTAGTATTACTAAACTTTTATCACCTTAAAATTAAATTATGCATCCATTTTTATGATTTCTAAGTTTTAAAGTAAAACAGATGGCGCCCGAGCAGGGACATTTTCCCTAAGCTCTGTCCCCCAAAACAAAACAAAGATGATATATTTTTTTCCAAGTGCCTCAGTTCGAAAGTAAAACACACAACAATTATCACACATTGCTGGCATTTTTGCATATAACGCTGACACAGATGGCGCCCGAGCAGGGACGCACATGGCTGCCAAAAAATGCGGCTTTTCCCACACAGCGCTTAAGCCTAAACACTCCGCGGCGAGTTCATTTACACGCAGCGCGCAAAACACAAAGTGAGTCGAATTCAGCGCCGGCAATTACTATGATTAATTTCGCTTGATATGTGCATCGGGCTTTGGGCTCTGGACTCTTAACTCTCAGCGCTTTTTGGAGGCCCAACTCAGGCAGGCGCAATTATGAAATACGCCTTAGCATTTTGAGGGGGCCTCCGCAGAAGTTGCATGCCCGCACGCTGACAATGAAAATTAGAGGTGAAAGAGGGGGAAGGGTGGAAAAACAACACTTTATACAACACGAAATTAAAACACGAGCGAGCAATGAACAACTACTGACTGCATTGGCCCATGTCGAAGTCGAAAAAGTCGAAGAAGTCTCGAAGTTTGGGATCGAAGTGGCAGCTGAGCTGAAATTTAATGCGATACGTTAGCAGTGAGCTCGTGCAGCTTTCACTCTCTTTTGGGGCCGAGTGTCAGCCAGCTTTGCCTTTTTTTTTTAGCCACCTTTTCTGGGGCGGGGATTTAGATTGGGTTGCCCATCAGCTGACAAATTGGAGCAGCCAAATAGAGCAGCTCCCACAGCTGCCTACTGATGCCAACTGCCAAGTGCCAAGTGCAGTGCCAAATTGCGGAAACATTTTTGGCGACGAAGCGCGAAGCGCAAAAAAACTGAACACAAATCAACGCAAAAAAACAAAAGACTTAAGACACGAACTGGCTGGCCGAGATGGCTGGATGAATCAACAGTTGGCGGCGGTGGCGGCTTCGTTTGGGTGCCACATCAGGTGGATTTTCCACTTGGTTAGCGGGCCACAGGCCACACTTTTCCTCTCTTTCAACTCCCTGCCACCAGATGTCGACCTTCATCAT